GTGTTGCGCTGTGTTGTAATGCGCTGTGTTGTGCTGCGCTGTGTTGTGTTGTTGTAATACGTCACGATATATTATGTTTAAGGAATATAAAACGCGCGAGCAAGTCTCTATAAGGTGGGAGGTGTAGAGCACATAAGAAGCAAGCTTACAAGCACGAGGTGTAACCGAGTGTTCTACAGATCCCAGAGTCTTTCCATCCCATTACAGAGACGTTCACGCGTTGCCTTTATAAAATATTTTTGAACGCGCGTGGTATCTCAGCACAGAGCGCTTGTATCAGAGCGCTTAGTATTTCAAATATTTGTTGTCATAGACGAGCGATGATTGGACGTACCTGTTCGATAAGCCTGCGAACCAGCTCAGTATCTCCAGCAATAGCGGCGCGTTGTAGTGGAGTTTCACCCTTTTCATTTCTTTTTGACAACTAAAAAATAGAAAAATAAACAGTCGTTGAAAGAAGAACTACTGTGGGCCACACACGGCAATTCGTACCACAAGGATCCTAATTTCATAAACGTGATAAACGATTATGTGACGTGCAAGGAATGCGTGTGATGCGTATKGTGCTTGGGTCACATGGGCTTGAGAAGTGGCGTATTTAAGAACAGAACAATGTGCAGGAGAGTTGAAGCGAGATTGAGCTGAGCGTTGTATGGACGGAAAAGGTGGAAGGAAACTTGTCGTTTCAAAATATACTTTAAGACAAACAAGAAACAAACTGCGGGTTCTAGATGCCGTGATATGAAAGTAAATAAAGTAGTAATTATAGCAGTTAGTTACATTGAATTAGAGGGGGGRAAATCCTCTAAGTGTCCTCTATAGCACAAGCGAGTGCAAAAATCCAGCAAAAATGCAGTATATTTCTATTATTGTTACTGTTCGCTCAGAGTGTAGAAACCTGGGGATAGACCCTTCTCGAGGTCCAAGTTACCGCTGTGTTCCTTGATTACAGACTCATTTACTCAGTGTTAGCCTCGTATCAGTGTCTAAATATTCATAAATACCAACGGTAAAGTAAAGAATGCACAACTTCAACAATACAAACACTTTGAAATTCCACGGACCTTCAMTGGAACATGAGAATATTCTACACAATATCAAGGCTAACCCAGCTGAGCAACAGAGAACTCGAAACTGGATTATTCTGCATACACTGTACATGCATCAAGAGTTCTTCGCTACTGCTCTAAGCGCATGCTCAAGGGGTCAAAAAGTGGGACCRTAGGTTGTAAAAATTGCTATATTTTAAGAGAGAATTCTTTTCGTATTCATGCGGTGAGCGCCAAAAACTATTTTCTTGAAGAAAAGCTGTTGTACAAGGCTAAAATCTTGTTATTCAGAAAGTTTAACTCGTTTGGAAGTGGAGATGACCGATGAAAGTGGAATCAAAATTTAAAAATTTGAATCGAAAATGAGGTTTAGGCCTTCATTTGCTTATTTCCCATAGATTTTCTATAAAAAAGCCTGACAAAGCTACATTCTAACACAAATGCAACAAAACATCTTTGTACAATTGAAAATACCGCTTCAAACAAGCATTTTATCATAGTACATCAGTTTCTAACWGTTTAAAAAAGGTTTTGAGTGTTAACCCAAAACGAAAATTGGGATCAAAACTCATACGAAAGGTTTTGGCGCTTTTTGCCATCATTGCTCATTATTGAAAAACAATTCCTTTTAATCTTATTCTTCTTATCAAATTTCATAAATATTCAAGAGCAAGTACCGTTAAATTAATTCCAAACCAAATACACCAAAATATAGCAATTTTTACAACCCATGTTCCCACTTTTTGTCCCTTGAGCATGCGCATAGAGCAGTAGCGCAGCACTCTTGATGCATAGATACGGATACAATATTTCAGTTGGGATCCCTGTGTTGTTACCTTTGTTCTAGCTCCTGTCCTGGTGCGATGTTTGATTACTGATTCATCATTTTCATCCTCGTTATCATATTCTTCATCTGGAAATAAATATAATATATTATAAAATAACTGCTCTAAATCTCGCGTACTGATTGGTTGGGAGCGCGTGCTTTATGAGAGCACACAGCACGCACGCGCACTTTGAGTTTCGTCATTTATGTAATTTGTATTTTATAAAAGAAATAAAAAACCTGCTTGCTGTGCTGTGTGGAGTTATAGAGCACTTGGGGATTGGCAGAACACTTGAGAAGTGTCCAGAAGCAATCTGCTACGCGTCGTGCTTCTCCTAACACTTCTCTCGTCTTCTGCCAACCCCCGCGTGCTTTATAACTATTTCTTCATGATTATGTACTCACACGTGATTTGTTTAAGAAAAAATATAACCCTTATTGTTTGTTCTAGCACAGACACAGTGGTTTTTCGTTCCTTACTTTATTTATCTATTTATTCATTCATTCATTTATTTATCTAATCATTCATTGATTCGTTTATCTATTGATTGATTGATCGACCGATTGATTCATTTATTTCTTTATTCATTCATTCATTCRTTSATKCRTTKATSYATTYATYYATTCATTYAWKYATT